AACCACCCCCTCACACCACCCCCTCACACACACCACCCTCACACACACCGCCCTCACCAACACAAACCCCTCACACCACCACTATCACATCCACCACCCATCACAACACCACCACCACCATCACAAACACCACGCCTCACACCACCACCATCACACCACCACCCTCACACCACACCACTCACACCACCACCCTCACAACCACCACCATCACACCATCCGATGACACACCACCCTCACACACCACTCTACAACCACCCTCAAAACCACCCTCAAACCACCAGCCAATACCACAACCACACCACCACTCACAACACCACCACCCACAAATAACCTACCCATTATCTCACCACCACCCTCCCCAACACCCCTAACACCACCACCATACACGACAACACCTCTCAAACACACCATCACAACACCACCCTCACAACCACCACTATCACACCACCACCCTCACAAACCACCACCCTCACACCACCACATCACAACACACCACCCTCACACCACCCACTCACATCACCACCCTCACACCCACCTCACACCACCAACCTCATCAACGACCACCACACATACACCACCCTCACACACCCCCTCACAACACCACCTCCAAAACCACCCACACAACACCACCCTCACACACCACCTCACACCACCACCATCACAACACACACCCTCACAACCACCACCCTCACAACCACCATCACACCTCACACCACCCTCACATCCGACCGACCCTCCCCACAAAAAACCACCACCACACACCCACACCCTCTCAATACCACCACCTCACAACCACCACCCCTAACAACCACCACTATCCACACCACCACCCTCACACCACCACCCTCACAACCACCACCTATCACACACCACCCTCACACACACCACTACACACCCCACCCTCACACCCACCACCCTCACTCACACCCACCCTCACAAACACCACCCTCACACCACACACCACCCTCACACAAACCACCCTCACAACACCACCATCACAACACCACCCTCACACACCACCCTCACAACACCACCCTCAACACCACCCATCCAACACACCCACAACAACCCCAACCCCAAAACCTCACAACACCACCCTCACACACACCCTCCACACCACCCTCACACCACACCCCTCACACCACCACCCCACACCACCACCCTCACAACACCACCCACAACACCATGCCCACACCACCACCCTCACAACACCACCCTCACAACACCACCCTCACACACCACCCTCACAACACACCACCCTCACAACACCACCCTCACACACCACCCTCACAACACCACCCTCACAACACCACCCTCACAACTCACACCCAACACCACCCTCACAACACCACCCTCACAACACCACCCTCACACAACACCACCCTCACAACACCACCCTCACAACACCACCCTCACAACACCACCTCACACAACACCACCCTCACAACACCACCCTCACAACACCCCTCACACCCACCCTCACAACACCACCCTCACAACACCACCCACACAACCACCACCACCCTCACAACACCACCCTCACACAACACCACCCTCACAACACCACCCTCACAGCACCACCCTCACAGCACCACCCTCACAACACCACACCCCTCACAACACCACCCTCACAACCCCATCACCCACCCCCATCCCACACCACCACCCTCACACCACCACCCTCACACACCATCCTCACAACACCACCCTCACAACACCACCCTCACACCACCACCCTCACAACACCACCCTCACAACACCATCCTCACAACACCACCCCACACCACCACCCTCACACACACACCACCCTCACAGCACCACCCTCACAACACCACCCTCAACACACACCCACCCTCACAACACCACCCCACACACACCTCACAACACCACCTCACACACACCACCTCACAACACACACCCTCACACACCACCACCTCACACCACCACCCTCACAACACCACCCTCACACCACCACCCTCACAGCACCACCCTCACAGCACCACCCTCACAGCACCACCCTCACACCACCAGCCCTCAACACACCACAGCACCACCCTCACAGCACCACCCTCACAGCACCACCTCACAACACCATCCTCACACCACCACCCTCACAACACACCACCCTCACAGCACCACCCTCACAGCACCACCCTCACAGCACACCCAACACCACCCTCACACCACCACCCTCACACCACCGCCCTCACACCACCGCCCTCACACCACCGCCCTCACACCACCACCCTCACAACACCACCCACACCACCACCTCACACCACCGCCCCACACCACCGCCCTCACACCACCACCCTCACACCACCACCCTCACAACACCACCCTCACACCACCGCCCTCACACCACCGCCCTCACACCACCACCCTCACAGCACCACCCTCACACCACCCTCACACCACCACCCTCACACCACCGCCCAGCAGCTGAATCAAACTTGCAAAATATGTATCCAATTTGGAGAAAGACTTGGCCTGGTCTATTATGGAACGGCTCTATATCTCTGGCTAGTGGTCTCATAATTCTTCAACCCAAATTGTTTTGGAGAGGGTTAATAGAAGGCGTCGTGGGCCCTGAATTGTCGCCTCGAGCTCACTATCTTAACTTCTTTCTCTTTGTACAGTCTCAACGTTTGCGTCGGCGTCAGGACCGGCGTCTGATCAGCACCGGCTTAAAGCTTCGGAGTTACGTAAATGAATGAGTCAAGTTTACTGGATAAATTCTGTGCATATATATATATATATATATATATATATATATAAATATATATATATATATATATATAATATATTATATATATATAATATATATATATATATATATAATAAATATTTGAAAAAGACCAAGAGAATAATCATAATACTTCAAAAAATAAAGAATATCTTTATTGCAGCAACATCAGGGCCCAGAAGAGATTCATGTGAGGTAAATAACAGCTGCCAAGAAACTCAGGCGGTGGGTGAAGGAGATCCAGACCCTGGCGATGAGTGCAGGTGACCCAGATCCTCGCGATGGGTGCAGGTGACCCAGACCCAGGCGATAGGTGCAGGTGACGCAGATCCTCGCGATGGGTGCAGGTAACCCAGACCCAGGCGTTGGGTGCAGGTGACCCAGACCCAGGCGTTGGGTGCAGGTGACCCAGACCCAGGCGTTGGGTGCAGGTGACCCAGACCCAGGCGTTGGGTGCATGTGACCCAGACCCAGGCGATGGGTGCAGGCGACCCACACCCAGGCGATGGGTGCAAACAACCCAGACCCTGGCGATGGGTGCAGGCGACCCAGACCCTGGCGATGGGTGCAAGCAACCCAGACCCTGGCGATGGGTGCAGGCGACCCAGACCCAGGCGATGGGTGCAGGCGACCCATACCCAGGCGATTGGTGCAGGCGACCCACACCCAGGCGATGGGTGCAGGCGACCCACACCCAGGCGATGGGTGCAAGCAACCCAGACCCTGGCGATGGGTGCAGGCGACCCACACCCAGGCGATGGGTGCAAGCAACCCAGACCCTGGCGATGGGTGCAGGCGACCCAGACCCAGGCGATGGGTGCAGGCGACCCAGACCCAGGCGATAGGTGCAAGCGACCCAGCAAAAAAATAAAATAATCACTAAGATATGAGGTTGAGTTCCACTGCGAGGCTGTACAACTCTCGCCTCCATCCTGCCAGCCACTCACATTAACGAAACAGACAATTGCGCAGAGCGGGAATAGCTGTACATATATTTCCTTCCCTCTGATATCTGTGGAGGGAGAGAAATACCTTTACCCTGGGTTCTCCCCAGGGTAGCTCACAGAGATTACTCTGCCTGAAGTCTGGGGAGGAGGAGCACACAGCTGACTCTGTATAGGTCTCAAGTCTTGCCATGTATTTTTTTCTGTTATTGGGTGAAGGGTTGTAGATGACAGCCTCATACACTAGGTTATTTCTTTGTAACTGTGTTCACTTGAACTCGTGTTTAGTGTGTGCATGTTGAAATATATTGAACATAATTCGTGCATGCATCATACTTATGCTGACAGTTTCGTATTTTAAAATTGCCTGAGAACAGATTTTTTTTATTTTTTTTTTTATTTTTTTTTCAGGTTGAAAGCATAATGAAATTTATTTACGAATGAATTTATACAGAAGCATTTTTTTTTCAGTTTAAATATGTCGAGTTTAATAATCTTTATTAATCTCATTAAAATATGTTTTTTTATGTTTATTTTAGAAATAAAAAATAAATTATACATCCATAAGTCCAAAGTTTTAAAGTTTCAACTTGATAAACTTAAGTTAATCTTTCTCCCAGTTGCTCGAAATTGGGATGAAAGAATATTTTGCAATTTTTGCTTGTTTATTTTTTACCTTCTATCTCCCACACGTCTAATTACACTTTCTTTTCTTTCTTTCTCTTCCATCCTTCTACCTCCCTCGTCGTAAACAACTTTCCCGTGTGTAAAACCTGATTCCTCTTTCTTCATCCTCTCTCAAATGTTCCTCCGCATCCTATCTTCTGCCTCTCCTCTGTCACCGAACTTTTTATCTGAACGCTGTCGTGCATTGAACCTCATCTCGTATATCTTATCCATGGCTCTCTCTCTCTCTCTCTCTCTCTCTCCTCTCTCTCTCTCTCTCTCTCTCTCTCTCTCTCTCCTCTCTCTCTTCTCTCTCTCTCTCTTCTTTCCTATTAATCTCTACATCCTTTGAACTCTTTCTTAACTTCTTATGACCTCTGCGATACGACTTTTTCTTCTGTGATCTTTCGCTTCCTGGTTACTCCATCTCTCCACTTCTCGTATATGACCTTATCGGCAACTTCTTTTTTACCTAATTTTTCTTGTTTTCTTCTGTTACCTCTCCACCTATCTCTTTCTTCTCTTTTCATTATCTCTTAATCGCTCGCTCTTCCATTGTACATCCATCCATTTTTTTATGCCTTCACCTCTCCCTTTCTCCCCCTTCCATTATTTCTCTCTCCTTGCCCCGTCCATCCCATCAGTCACTATGTCGAGACCTGGACAAGGAAGGCACCAAGTCGTGGCTAGACATGATGCTGGAGAAGTTGTCTGCCCACAGCAGCGAGGGAGAGGAGAACCTTTCTGGACGCGACAAGGCTGTGAAGGCGCAGGAGAAGAAGAAGCTGGAGGCTATGATAGAGCGCCACACCGGGCTCATGGGACCTACCATGGAGGCACAGAGTACGTGACTGGCACTCACAGGTTGTAGGGAAGGGCGCGAGCTTCGATCTCTCACGCTAGTGGCTCACTCTCTCTGTAACGAGACGATAGATGGTTTGGCTAAAGCTAGAAGTTTTGGCTGAAGTTCGTTAACTAAGCAAGTGTTCGTTCACTGTTTCGATTACTACCTCTACATTTAGTGACTCCCCTGTCCTTTTCAAGCTAAAGAATATGCTGTCTGTCTATGTAGACAAGTGTTCGTTAACCGGTTTTATAACTTGCATCTCCCTCGTTTATTTGGAATCAGGGGATTTGATGGAGTTTGTTAGCCGCACAGAAGTTACCCTCACAGATTAGTTAACTTCTGTGTGTTAACGGGAACTAAAAGAGTCTGGCTTGTTCCAGGCATCACCTTTAATAATTTTATATTTTGTTTATACTTCGTGTCGTTTCTCATGTACACCTTACTCACTAGAGTTAAAAATTGGGAAATCCATTTCTCTTTCTGTTCATATTCCTCTAAGACCCAAGAATTTTATTTCGGTTTATATCTCGTCGTGTCTTCTTTTTCACTAGTCCACCGAGGTAACCAGATGAAGAGTTATTGTGTAGATGCACGAATCGAATCTCAAGCAGTTCATCAATTGCAGCAGTCAATTAGAAGAGACTTGAAGGTTAGGTTATTGGTGTAGAGACCAGACCAGAGGTGTGTAGGTTAGGTCATCGAAGTGAAGGTCGGACGATCGGTGAGTTTTGACAATCTTGCCACCAGAGTACAGACTTCTCTCAGAAGCTGTGATGACTCCCGATGATTTTCATTTTTATTCCCTTACTGACACTCAAACTCCTCTAAATAATCTTTTGAATAATCATGAAGAAATGTCACTCTGGAAACTTAAAAAAAAAAACATATCTAATGGACTTGTCTGAGAGGTATCTCATCGTATTTGGTCGTATATTATTCTCAATGAGCTTATTTTAAAAATGTGGTTTTAAAGAAGTATTTGACTAGAAATTTTTAAAGCATAATTTGCACCGTCAACACTTCTGGCAACTTATTCAACAATCAGCTAGAAAAAATATTAATGTTTTTTTGGGTATTTTTCAGAGTCCTTGTTTGTAGTGTTTTGCAAAAGATTTCCTTTGCTTAGTGCCTAAATTAAGATCTTACACTCGGCCTAAAATGAGATAATTTGAACTCTACTCTTTTTTTGAAGTGAAAATATCATACTTTATGATCCTCAGATGGGAGATCTTTTCAAAAACTTAAGCAAAGTCTTTTCAGCATGAATATCCCTCCTGAAGGAGATTGCATTGCATCGCTGTCCTTTACGACTGAAGGACTTCAAGTTGGGATATTCCTGGAGGCCACTCACATATAAAATTCTTCCATCTGGAGGATCAGTGGGATGGAACTTTAGCATGCAAAAAAAAATCCAGAGAGTAACATTATTTCACACTGGAAGTCATTTAATCCAGAAAACTTCTGGCTGGAAATCTTTCAATATGAAATTTCTTTTCGCTTTAAACTCCGTGAAGACTGAATTTCTTCAGAGTCGAAATCCTTACGAATGAAAAGGCCTGGGGTCGTTTATGACAAAAGCCCTAGAGGGAGATCTTTCAAGATGGAGAAACTTCTCAAGTCCGAGTTTCTTAACACCGGAAGCCTTTATCTGAGCGCTTCCATCGCCCTCTGATAACTGCACTGGTTCACAATTGAAACATCATAAATCTGGTAAAGTGACCTCCAGAGACACTCGGTGCAAGACGCAACCGCTGGATAATATAGATTTTTCAAGAAACACACGTAAATTCAACAAGCGCATCCTGACATTCAAATGAATGTCGTAACAATTAGTGTCAGTAGAGGGCTGAGTGCATCCTTAATTAAAGCGGCAGTGTCAGTGTCCATACTTTTGTGGGCATCATCTAAAGCCGTCTCATGATGGAGAACTTGTCGCTAATGTTTTCTCGTCATTCGAAAGATCTTTGACAATTTTTGTTTTGTAGTCAGAGCTTTTATTTCAGTAATTTCTTTCCCTTGGCAGTTCGACGTTCATAGAAAACAGACAGGAAAGGAGAATATTTCTTGTTGCTTTGTCCAAATTGAGAATCAATACCCATCTCCTCTGTGCTTCCTCTCCTCCTTCCTACCCAGACTTCAAACATTAAACTTGCGAGAATTATAAAGCGGTAGATCAGCTCAAACCCATTTAGCTTTAATTAAATAAACCAGATAAGAGTCGGTGTCTGGTGTGTTAAACTAGTAATAGAGCTCACTGTCCGTCGTAAAGTTTATTTCCTGGAGCTTTAAGTTTTAAAGGCTAGTGTTAGCAGCCAGCTTAAATACTGACCTCAGTTACATGCATAGTCAACACTGTGCATTTTTATACGCTCAGCAGAACGCACAATACACCAGATATACATACCCAGTGTACACTGTGATTAACAGGTGTACATGCTACCTCGGGATCATCCAGACTAAAAAAAAATCTCAAGCGAATGTATGTACACACATTCGAAAGAGAAACGTCAAGATAAACCACGGTACGGGCGGGGCTTGAACTCGTGGCTAGTGTTTGTAATCGTGTCATTACGATTCCGTGAGTCATGATGAAGGCTTTGAGGGTACTTGAGCTAGTGTTCATCACGGCCACGCTGGCTAGAAATTCATCCGTAAAAACTTGCACTTGTGGTCACAGTGGTGCCCATGCTAAACTTCCCATGGTGTATAAATATACCTAGTTGGATGAATCTTATTGTAGCCAGCTGGCCCAGTGGCTAACGTGCCGGTCTGGAGTTTTATGACTCACTGGCCGCGAGTTCACTTCCCACCCGTACCGTGGTCTGTTTGCAATCGTGTCATTACGATTTCGTGAGTCGTAACGTCAAGATGTAACTCAGATTCGCTTTCTAGGGAACTCTCGATGCCACCTTGGCTCTCATTGACCTTTAATTCTAATCAGTGTAAACAGGGGTTTCAAAATTATGTGCTTGTAGCAAGATGGAGGTGATGGTATTTCAGAAGGCACGAAGAAGTGATCTCAGGACTTCGTATGCTTCATAAAGATTTTGAGCCAGTGTCTGTGCACGCACATCCGAGATGAACCACAAAGAGCACACACACACACACACACACACACACACACACACACACACACACACCACCCCACACACACACACACACACACACACACACACACACACACACTCACTCACACACACACACACACACACACACACACACACACAACACACACACACACACATAGGAGAGACAAAGCCTTGCGTGAGATCCTGTAGCTAGAGAGATACAGAGCACAGAGCCCCTAGCAGCCATAGAACAGCTACCAGCCACCTTCTTTGTGCCTTGATTGTGGGATCCACGAACCCTTAGAGCACCTCCAAGCTCCACTGATCCGGATGCTTAGCTGTGACGTCATAGATCCGTTCGTGATGTCAGAAGTGATCCGTGTGTTTGTGTTTTCTCAAACTTTCCTCGTTCTAGATTCCTTATCATCATTCTTATCAACATTTTTTTTTTATTTTTAATGATCTTCAGTCCTCCGTCCCCCCAATCCGCCTACTTTATTTTTAATATATATATATATATATATATATATATATATATATATATAAAATATATATATATATATATATATATATATATATATATATATATATATATATATATATATACATGTGTAAATAGATACATATTGTGACTCTTTTATCGTTCTAGTGGATTGAGGCTTGAAGAAGGTGAAATGCTCTTGATCCAAGGAATTTAAAGTGCCCTCTTCTTCCTCGGATCAAGCCTTTTTACCTCCCATTCCACAGGAGCTGCATGACCCCTATGGGTTTAGAGTTTCCCCAGTGAATACTACAATAATAATTATGAAAATAGCAAGTTTCAACTAACTTAACTCTCAACTTTCACTAAAAAATGCATGATCTCTTTTAATTTTCTCCATTATTTTGTATTTATGTCTGTATGCTAATGGTAATTTTTTTCATATATTTTAAACTTTCTCTTTAATATTCTTTTATTTTTTTTTTTGAACTAATTGGTTCTCTTGTAATTTATTACTAATTAGTCTTGATATTAATAATGTCATTCGTTATGTGTTGATAATATTAACAATGTTTCTTCCTGCCTGTGCTAATGATGGCTCGAAAATTGGGTCATCAGTATGCACGGAGCAGTAACAGTAATGTATCATCACCTCTCTCTCTCTCTCTCTCTCTCTCTCTCTCTCTCTCTCTCTCTCTCTCTCTCTCTCTCTCTCTCTCTCTCTCTCTCTCTCTCTGTCTTCTCCACATCACCTGCCTCCTGCAGGTAAAGTAGACCACTACTCAGAATGCTACGCCTTCGGTGATGACATTCACCCGGTGATGAAGGTCCTGAACGAGCAGCGGCACTTGTCTTGCAAGGAGATACACCCACACAACATGGACATGTGTGAGGAGCAGATCGACAAGCAAGAAAAGGCAAGTCACTTTCCTTCATTGCTTGGGCTTCGACACTGTAGAAAAGGCAGGTTACCTTCATTGCTTGGGCTTCGATACTGTAGAAAAGGCAGGTTACCTTCATTGCTTGGGCTTCG